CCCCCCCCACCCATTGTCACATTTTTTTCTGTCGCTGTTCTTTTTTTCTTTGCATATTCATATATATATACATAGATGTACGCGCGCGCGCGCGCGCACACACACACACACACACAGACTCAGGGACGCGTCCCCGTCGCTTGTAATTTGTATACATCGTACAGTGTGTAATTTCATTTTTTTTTTTATGTAAAAAAGAAAAAAGGAAAGAAAAAAAAAACAAATTCAATAAAACTTTAAAAATACGTGATCTGTTTGGATCGTCGAACAATCGTATATCCACGACTATAGGACTTCGTCGTAGAGATAAGAATGAATTTGAACGTTAGAACAATGCTAATATCTCGTATATATATATGTATGTCGGTGATAAAATTTATCTTTTCTTGTCGACGGTGCATTTTGAAAATTCGCGCAGGGCCCTTTGTTTTACGGCGAAACAATCTGTGATAAGATTGATAAAGGGTACTTGCGGGGAATCTCCCTCTGTTGTACGTTTATGTGGATTTTCTAAGAGAAGGAGAAGGTGCAAGCGTCGGGCAGCTAGGTGGAGCCCCGAAGTACATTTGAAAACGAAGCAAACAGCTGCTGGTGGGTCTGTAATCGGCAAAATTTGAAAATGCACCGTCGACGTTAACAATTAATCCTACAATGGCAATAGTTAATTCTCTAAACCGTAGATGAAACTTGTAACGCCTGCTACCTTCGCCTTATTACGGATATGTCTCCGGTACCTTAAATTCTGCGCTTTAAACTTAATAGCTTACAGGTTACTTGTGGTGACAACAGTTGTGGCTAGTACATACACCTTGTTTTTTTTGTCCTTTATTTAATTATTTGTTATTATCATTATATGACTTAACTACATCGATACAACGATCCGTAATTGTGCTGTGCCTCTTGCAAGTACGATTTGCAATTGTCGCTGCGAAACCAGAGTCCCCACCCCCCTCGGCCTGCATTTTTTCTTTAAATTCATTCTTTCTTGGTCACCCCTTATAGACGCGCGTTATCGCTTTGTTCCTCGGGTACAAAACTGACGGTTATTTACAGATATATAAGTATGCCACAGATCTACTGTAGACTGTAGTAGAAAATTTTCTTTATCTTTTTTCTTTCTTTTCTTTCCTTTTTAATAATATTTTAAGCTGCTCCGTCGGCAAAGGTGGTCCATTTTCTTCGCAGCTTTTATCATCGGTTTTTCGAGTTCTATTCTGTGTGTATGTATATTTTTTCACTTGTTCCTTCTACCTCTCTCTCGCTCTCTCTTAGTCGGCTCAATCTGTTCAAAACAATAGTGTTTATCGTTACGCTTAACGTATCGAATATACCCATTAGAATATTGTAGAGCACAGCCGCATGATCATACCAATGGAAAATCATTCGAAAAATTGTTAACTGATTATCTTTATCGATACACCAGACGCGTTCTCTTGACGAGACGTTCGGTTCGTTTGACGATCCTCGTTATCAATCTGTCATAATTATACTCAGTAATTATCCTCGTTTCGCGATAACGCCATTAGAACCGATTGACAGCCGTAGACGTTGACTGTGTTCCTGTTTGTTGTTTGATAAAATAGTTTGTCAATAAACAATTGTCCTTTGCGATCATTTGGACGAGTACGATTAAGCAATGATATCAGTATGACATTCGGGGGGACTCTGTTACGTTGTAACACGTAAGAAGTTGGCCCCTCAAAGTCACGATGATATCGCAGTCTGAGTATATTAAAAAAAAATGTTTGTCATACAGAGACAACACAGTTAAATTACAAAATTGAAATGAAAGAACAAAATTGCGAAATTCTTAACGATAATTAATTTCTCATATCTCCGCATTTCTTCTATAATGTATAAACTTGGCTTTGACAATAAACTACCCGACGATATCGATGATATTTACGGAGCGAATCGGTTGCACCAAAAAACGAAAACATGCAACTCTCTCTCTCTCTCTCTCTCTCTCTCTCTCTCTCTCTCTCTCTCTCTCTCTCTCTCTCTCTCTCTCTCTCTTTCTCATTAACATCGAATTATGAGTTTGCGGACATATTTACTTACACGTTAATTCATATTAAAAATATACATTAATGTATACGAGTTTGTTTCGCGTGTATGTGTATGTGTACGCGACAAAATGACGCGTGTCTTATGTAACCGCGTGTACGTGCAAAGTACATACACTCAACAAATTGTCTATGTAACATATTTTTTTTGTTTTCCTCATATTCTAACTATACATCGTTTCACTAACGCCTACGGTTTCATGATAAAATAGGTTTCGGATAACACATTTAAAACTTGCATTCAAAGATACTAAGATATGTCGCTTTTTATCATTAAATCTTTTCCACATCAACAATTCGACCGATAACTTTCTGTGACTGACGCGATTTTTTTCCTTTCCCCCCCCCCCCCCCCCCCCCCCCCCCCCCCCCCCCCCCCCCCCCCCCCCCCCCCCCCCCCCCCCCCCCCCCCCCCCCCCCCCCCCCCCCCCCCCCCCCCCCCCCCCCCCCCCCCCCCCCCCCCCCCCCCCCCCCCCCCCCCCCCCCCCCCCCCCCCCCCCCGGATCACGGACGTCGAGTGATTTTTCGAATAGTTCGAGTAGGTTGTATAAGTTACTAGCTTTACAGTAGAGTATGCTGCTCTTATTATTTCGTAATTCATCACGACCATCAATGAGTGATTGGACATCGGTAATATCATCGCACGCATTTCCACGGACTGGCTTGTCGCCCTGTAGCTTCCTTGGTCTCTCCTTCGTTCGTATCGTAAGAAAATATAAGTTTACCGAGTTACGTTTCTTCCTTCCTTTATTTCGTGGCCTGGAGCTATTTCAAATTTTCCCGCGCCCTCTACCCACCACGTATTTCTCTACGACAAACGTACGTATATTGCATCTCTTCCGGCATTATTGGATTGTCCCGATAATTCGTCTGACTCTTGTACAATCAGATTTATGTTTCATGAAAAACGGATCAAACGGATTTTACGTGAATTCGTTACGGAGACGATTTTTCTTTTCTTCTCTAATCGCATTTAATTCTTCCTCCAGGCATCTCGCTCCGATGCATCCTTATCAGTGATACGCGTTAACGCTCGAACAATGTAATCCCTTCTGTCGGCCACGTACGAATTCACGAAAATCCGCAACAATAATTAAAACGAACAATCGCTCGGCACTGCGTGCGACTGTTGTTTCGCTTTCTTATCGTGACCGCGCGTCATCAATGGAAATATATTAAATTTTGTACCGATAGAAAATCTTTAATAACTATAGGAGGCATATATCTCTTTCTCAATAGATTTAATTTCACTTCTTCGTTTATATGAAAAATAACGATTTCTTTATACTTTTTTCCTTTCTCTTCAATAAAAAAGTGTGTTGGCTACGAGATTGCACTTCGTGATCGTATTTAAAAATTTGCAATAATTATTCGGTGACTAAGAATGTGTTTTCCCCCCTCCTCCTCCCCCTCCTCCCCACGCCGCCCCTTTATTTTACCCTTTAATAACTTGTTTCCCTTTAATCTCATTCGCGTTATAGTTCCCGATACCAAACGTATGGTCATTTATGAAACGTCCATCGATCACCGCCGTCGTGTAAGAAATTTTTTTTTTTTCTTTTTTTTCGTCCCTTTTCAACTCTTTTACAATAGTATGATAGGAGGGCCACGAATGGTGCCAGGCACTATTTAATTCAAAATACCTGTGTACTCCATATTAAGATAAGTTAATTATAAATTTCGAGTGTCCCAACGATCACCAGGATAAATCTGTCTGAATGCATTGCATGTATAGTTACACATAATGAAATTGATAATTAGTGAATTGGCCAATTAATTACATAACGCAAAGAGTACGCATGTGCAATCGAATCGACACAAACGTTTTTATCGCATTCGTTGGTCGTATTGAAATCACTATGATTATTAACAAATAACTTGCCCCACCCCACAAGTACGCACGATTGAAAAATTTGGTGTCGGTACCATTATAATTAACAATTATCATTGTTCAATCAACATTTAATTGATTTTGTTATAATTCGCTTAATTAATCGGATATATCTTGTACGCTTCACCTGTACTTGGGTGTAAAACATTAAGCGTACATCGCATATTAGATTTTTGAGTGGTCGGAATTTGCCGGCGTCGCGACGCCTCTTACTCGAGGGCGACTTACACTGGTGACGGGAACACTCGGTGTGTGCATTTTAGGCGCCAAGGGTTGCAACTTTCCTAGTGATCTATCATTATTCCTTCGTACTTGTTTTTTTTATATCAAATGTGCAAAATACTTGTGGAAAATGTATAATTCTATATGTATATATATATTTCTTTTTTCTTTCTTTGTTAATCAACACTATATCGTATATGCCTATCTACCTATCTAAATGTTATTTCGTGTTTCAATATATTAATTTCGAATCCCGTTCACATATAATATCGTGTATACTTTGAGTACAGCAGCCGACCCTTTCACACGTCGGCAAGCCATAAATCCGTTAATAAGATCCATTGATAATTGAAAGAAAAGAAAAGAAAAAAAAGCACTACAATACCGTACACGCCAAATTAAAAAAAAAAAAAAAAACAAATACTTTTACGTGTTCACCGGCATCGCGTAGCCGCCATACCGATAGTTTAATTTTGCCAATTATTAATTTTAATGCCCCTCGCGACAGAGTTAATTGCAATTTTTGCAAAAGCGCATCGATTAAATTACCATGACGTAGCTACGGTATAAAAATTACGATATTAACGAAAGACAAAATATAGTTACAATTATAAGGCTTCCTGATAAAATTAATTTTTTCTTTTTAATATTTTTATAATGGTCGTTATTGCCCTGGACACTATTACGTTCCACGTGTGACTAGATCATTTGCTCATGAAAGCCAAGCCGATTAGAGAGGGAAAAAAAAAGAAAAAAAAAAAAAGTTCCCACAGCACAAACCGTCGATGCGGAAAACAAGCGGTCGAAAAAAAAAAAAATAAGAAAAAGAAGAGACCTCCAAAGTATGGACTATCGAAATTAATTAAAAGAGTGTGTAAAAGTAAGTGAACCCAACGGTTTAGGCTGTCGAAGGGCTGCTGTACCATGAACAACAACAAACCGTGATAGTAGACTCTGGCATTCGCAAACCTCACACTTTGTGCAGACCGTCCCCCTACTACCCTCCCACTTTTCGCAAGCTCTTTAGTCTCGACATTGGTACACTTTCTTAAGTTTCGTGATCGGTCATTAATTTACGCTTTACAAGAACGCGAATAAAACGCCAAGACGTCGAATAAAATCGTCGTGCGAATAAATGATGATCGAGCGTATAACGCCGAACACCGTACCGCGACACCATCATCATCGATTAATGACATATATACAAACAACACCTCTTATTATATACATGAAAATATATATATATCCATCGTACATATATAATATATATATATATAAAGGTTCAACATTATGGCACCGCATGTTATTCATCAGATAAATGTTTTCCCGTGTCAGTTTCAAAATATAAACAGATTTTTCTTTTTTTCTCTTTCACCCGCATTCCGGCTCGTTCAGCGACTACGTCACCACGCAGACGAGGGTCCTGTCAGACGTAGACAATGACAATGACTGCAACGACGCACGATCTTCGATTCACGATCTCCGATCTCGGACGCGAGAGCACTACGGGACTTAATCGTTTAACGAGGAGGCGTGAGAGAAGCGCTCGACCTGATCGGCATTAAGTCGCCCATCCTTCCGTGATTCTCGAGCGCTTCATCAGCGGCCCGTTCTCATAGTCTGAACTGTTACCCCCGTTGGCACCTCCGGCCGAGTGACTGCTGCGCATATCAGGAACGCTCCCGCCTCCCGGCGACGGCATATTCGTCGGCGTTATACTCCCGGAGTGAGAGGGCGGCGGGTTGCTGTTCGGTCTACTGGATACCAGGTTGAGACTTTGAGGTGGGCAGCCGTGAGATACGTGATGAGATGGCACTGGTGCACCTCCACCGCCTCCGCTAGACGACGAGGCACCTACTACGTTCATGCCCGCGTGGTGTAGACTGCCCGAGTTGCTTGGTCCGCCGTTGGAGCCGCCACCTCCGCCGCCACCACCGCCGTGGGGATCCCTCGGCGGACTTATGGGTTCACTCTTGATCTTCACGGGTAGAGGAGACGTCGACGGCGGTGGCGTACTGCTCGATACAGCTAAGTGTGGAAGACCACTGAAATTGAGAAAATACTTGATGGTTTCTTTTTTTTTCAATCTCCTTCCGACCACTTTTCTCATCACCCCTCGTATCTTCGTTACTTCTACAGCCTCTTGATTTTACCCGACACGTTCGCTACTTTGCAAACGATCCGATCGATCGGTCGCCAATCTTATTCAATTCCCATTCGCGATATCATAGCTCGCAGATAATTGGATTCGAGTATCATGCAAATTTTCATAATTATCTTTTGTCTCCTTTCGAGCCTCGAAGAACTGCCGTAACAACGACCTCTTTTCAATGACTTTATATATGGCGGCTGTACGCGATGGCAAAGAATTTCTCTCAAACGAATTGGAGCTTTCAAGGCAGATGTTACAAAGCTCTTTCCAGCGTCTATTATCGTATGCTATAGCCTGGAACACGTGCATGCACAACTCTCGTACTACATTGAACCTCTCCCTCTCATTTTTCTCTCTTATTCATTCGCACTTCCATCCGTTCCATAAGTTAAGCCTTAAGCCGCCTCGATGTAAGAACTTCAAGGCCCGCGCAGTAAATTATATTTACCCCGACGATTGATTCCCATGAAAAATATATTTGTATAAAATATATTTGACTCCGGCGTAACTGGATAAATTCGATGAGCAAGTAAATATTGTACTTGGAGAAAATATTTGATATCCGGTTACACCGAAGATAATGTGTTTAGTAACAGAAGCGCATGATATAATGGCGGGTTAGGTAAAGCTATAGAAAAAAGCTTTATCGGTTCAGCGGATATCATATAAGAATCCGTGTATATATTTCGTCCTTTCGGTATTTCCATAAACGTCCACCAGGGAATCCCTTAACAAAAGCTGGATCAGCTGTCACTCTGAGTACACAGTTACCGACCGAACCAATCTAGCTTTCCTCTATAACGATAACTATGAAATATGATTTACCTGATGCCGGACATGGTGGCTGCCGAATACATTGACAAGTCATCAACGTACCTCTGATGAGACCACGCGAGACTGCTAAGGTCCGAGGAGTAATCCGTGGGCCCGAAACTAGAATAGCCAGCCGGGACAGACGGCGTTTGTAATGCTACTACCGGTGTGTTTAGTGCAGATTGCGAGTGGCCGCTCTGCAAGAAGACGTCAATCTTTAATCGTTAATCGAGAGAAACCCCCGGAGGAGCCTGACAGCCTCCTGGTTTGAATCCTCATTATTTGAGTCACGTCATCGTGATCCTGACGTGGCAGGCCGCGATAGCCAGAGGAATATTTACATCGTAATTGTTGTCCTCGGACAGCGGCTGTGTGAGGGGCGCGGGTATGACCACCCGCAGGTTAGCTCTGTGGGGATGAGGAGGTGGCGGGGGCTGTGGCGAGTGTCTCGACGGATTCCCTCCTTTACTTCCACCTCCACCGCCGACTCCCAATGCTGGCGAAGGTCCAGGACTTGGGGAACCGCCAAGTGGTGACGCCGACGGCGGGTATCCGTTGCTCATCTCCAGCATCGCTCCCGATGGGTACACTGTTGAGAAAAAGTCAAATTAGACTTACTAGTAATCCTCGCGATTAAATCCTCATTCCTGAACTTTCGAGCGATTCGTATCGGGAGTTTTGCTTTCGAGCCTCGTGCAATCGCGCGATAATGTCTTGCGTGATTCGACAGAGAATTTTTTTTAATTAATTCATTAATTGATAAGGCAATCGCCATGCTCCTAAAGTACGTGAGCAAGTAATGGGAATCTGCTGTAACTTTATTTGTATAAGGGGGCTCCCATGGGGGCTTGTAACGTGCGAACGCGTTCACGAAGGACTGTATTGCGGTAGCCACGTACGTGTTCAATTTAATTCATATATCTATGAAATTTAATACCGCAGACTTGAAACAATACTAAGGTAGAACTGTGAACGACGCGTTTTACATACAAGCTATTAACATTTATTAACATAATGAGTATTGTCGAGGAGGAAATATTGTCATTGTACGAATACAATTGGCGTCGTGCATTGCGAAGATTACCTGAATCAGTTTCAGATGACGACGGTCGGGGCGAGATGCTGGTGTGCGCCATTTGAGGACTAGATCCCAATAGAGATTCCCCATAACTGTTTACAGGAACAGATACGGGCAGCGTGTAATTCGATTGGCCCATTCCCTAATTGAATAAAAAATAAAATAATAATTAGGATCTTGCGTTATCCAAGAAACAAACGAAGCAAATTTATAAAATAATTTAGGCAAAGTATATAAACTTTTTATACAATTTTTCATATTTTCATTCATTTCTTAAGAAAGCAAAGGTAGCTCATTTTTAAAAATAAAATCGAATATCTACCCTGGTGCCGTTGTGCTGATTCCTCTGCATCATCATTTGAAACTCCTCGTCAATCTTGGTGTATTTAGCCTCGGTCCGCGGGGTGAGATTGTATTCGCTTGCGTCGGGCTCCGGACTCTCCGGGGACATGGCACCCTTATGCTCCTTCTTGTTGAGCGCCTGCAAGTGTCAGCAGACAGGTTCACGTGACCACACCGCCCGAGGGCACTCAACCTTCACATGCACATCAAATTCCAACACACGGTATCTACCCTCATCCGGAGATAAAGTACTTTGGAAACAAAAGAGAAAAGGAAAAAAAGAGAAAGACAATTTTGGCAACCTATCCCCATGCTACCTTCTCGTGGACTAACACTATTCTCCCCAAGTGATTTCCTGCGACAGAGAAATATCCTGGATGATCCAGTCTGAATTCTGTTGTGGCGAAGAAAAAAGGCTCAAATTCAGATATCCGGATCTACCACGTACAAGAGATACAAGGAGATGCTTATCGCTTGTTTTTCTTTATTTCCTTTTTTTTTTTTTTTTTTTTAAATAATAAAATCAGTAATGCCAAATCGTACGAGGATACTTCTCCGACCCAAGAGAACCTGACAAAGATAAATGGACTCACCTCGATAATATTCTTGTTGGTGAGGGACTCGTGGGGCTCGTTGTACTCGGTGTACTTGAGGAGGACCTTGTCCATGTCGGTACTCGCGTACTGGTACAGCTTGTTGCTCGAACTGAAGATGATAAGCGCGATCTCGCAGTCGCACAATACGGACAATTCATAAGCCTTCTTCATCACGCCGAACTTCCTCTTGTTGAACGTCACCTGCAAGATAACATCAATAAGCGACCCTGAATTTCAACCAACGTACAAATCCGACCGGATCGTAAAATCGACGTGGATCGGGAAAAAAAAGAACGTTCCGACATTAAGTAAATAATTCACAAAAAAATATATAACATTTGAATTGAAAAATTGAAAAATGTATAACTTTTCTCGCAAAACGTCACCGTATCGCTGGGTATCGACCTTCGAAGCCTCTTACCTGACGATTTCGTTCGTCCGTGATACGAGAGATCTGTATCTTCTTGCGACCCATTGTTGAAGTATATTCGTAACCCAGGAACACTCTTTCGATGATCTTGATGGAATGTTAAAAACACTGCAACAATGAGAAGAGGAAATGAGGTCATTGGTTAAACACTAAAAATATCGTTTTACGTAACATGAAACTGTTGACCGTTTAAAAGTGTGTTAACGAATTACTTGAAAATGGAAAGGAAAAAAAAAAATCAAATCTCATTGACGCTGAAAAAATTTTTATATCGCTCCGACGACTATTTCCTGACAACATATCGACATATCGTTTATGCATTTATTCGACGAGGCAAATTCTCATTTGCACTCTAAAGAATTATTTATCTCGCTAACAGTTTTACGGCAAAGGCACTGTGTACTTCACGAGAATTATTCAAGAAGCGAATGCTTGCTGCTAATCGCGGGCCAATAGATCTTATGAATGGCAATGCGCGAGCGTCACAGACAATTAAATTCATTCTCGTGACTCGTAACCATCCTCGTGAAACGAAATCGAGTAGAGTCTATCGGATAAATACAAGGATTGTATTCCACTGAAAAAAAAATATACATATATACGAAAAAAAAAACCCCGAATCATTGAAAAATTTTTTAAAGAAAATTATTCTCATTCAAAGTCCAACGTGAAAATATACTAGACTAAAAATAATGTAGATGCAACCAGCGGACGAGTATACGAAAAAGATATTAAAAGAGGCTTCTTCCTCTGGCGAGTATCAATTCCCTCTTTACGACTTCCACGAGAGATAACGTTAATTGATGAATGGTTGAAAGTATCGTAGAACAGAGCGAAACGACGTTTCGGCACGAGAGGCTTCTCGGTGGGAGAAAGACACGCCACGGTCCAAGAGAAATGACGTTACTAACTGGCGAAGCGGATGAATTAAATTTTCCACAGGAAAAAGAGATATCAGTCGATAAGTCATTGAATATTTACTCGTTGTAAGGTTCGATATTATTACTGTTGATAATATTTCCTCAGACAACACTGATACTCGAGCGGAATTTGACTTAAGTAGCGAATAAAGGATCGATTTACTGCGGTAGTCGGAAAATTGATGAATTTTTCGATGCCTCTGGCTCGTGGAGAGAAAACTATCGTCGGGTAACGCAGTTACCTGCTTTACCGACCGACCGCCCGACGGAGATAGCTACTCCTGCCCGTGTTGCTGTCTGGTGCGTGCGAGTAGGTAGAGCAAATATACACGAGGCGTGTGCACATCGTGTAAATATTACGAGAGACACACACGGGACGCTGCACGTCTTTTTCTTCACGAAAGGACGCACTTACGCGTGTCTATCTATCCGTACTCGTACGCACGATCGCGCAAACGCACCTGACTCCCATTTTCAACCGAGGTGCCAGTCCTCTTGCGTGTCTGTTCCGAAATATTATTTATTCCCAATTATGCGTACTTTATCGAGGTCGCCAGAGACTAGTCTTAATAGATGTTAAATGACCGTATAATGTCGACAGCAAACACGACCGTGTGATCATACACAGTGATTCTCATTCGGTTGACTATGCATAAGTACGTGTCTTGTAACGCGAACGACAAAAGACACAGCAGGTAGACAGAATTTGTTGCTTTTGTTATTTTAAAAAAAAATGTACATATTTTTGTGACGTTTACTGTTTTTGAAAGTATATATTTTTTTTCCCGTACAATCGCCACGTACGAATTTCTCGTGATTCTGTTTGATATCGTTATCGGTATTAATGAGGAGATCGAATTATTTATCCAAATGTTGTGAAGGCTATGTATGCAGTTGTATGAGCGTTGCATATTGTTCGCAGTGTATTGTCTGATGCCTATAAAAAGAATAGCGATCATAGTGCACGTCATAGAAAAGACAATGGAGGAAGACTAGTTTTCATGGTAACGTTGCTTTCGCGCTCTTTTCCAGCTCGAAAAGTCTTGTACGTCGGGCGAAATTGTTCTGGGTCCGGAATTTACAAGAGCAACAGTCCTATCGACTGAAATCGCGTTTATCGGCGGTTTATTATTGGGTCGAAATTGATTCGCAGGGAAATGGTCGGGAGCGAAGGGAGGGGGAGAGAGAGAGAGAGAGAGAGAGAGAGAGAGAGAGAGAGAGAGAGAGAGAGAGAGAGAAAGGAAAGCAAGCAGCAGTCTATCCGATCGAATTTGGTCTATTATACAAGAGTGCGACATCGAATAAGGGTCAGCGACCAAGCAGCGCACTGACCTGCACACATCGCGCCTCGATCGCCTTTTCTCAGGAACGAATGAATCTTTGAGTGACGTTGCGAAGGCCACGCACTGAATAGCCAAGAAGAGGAATAAGGATGAATAGGAATCTAGATGGATGCTGAGAGCGAGAGAGAAAGAGAGGGAGTGATAGTAGATAAGCTTCAGAAAAGAATCAGTAGCGTTTAGAATCCGCCTTAAGACCCTGTGAGAAATATTGACAGACTAATGGAGATAAACTATCCGCGTGTGTTTAGCGATTGAAATGGACCCGCAGCATAATTGGAAAGATCCAAAGAATATAAAACTATTGGTCATAATGGTCGAAGAACGCAGCGATGCATTGTGGGTGATAGAGAAATAAGACTTATTAAATTACGAGGGAGTTTGAGGATAAAGGCGCGAAACGTATTGGGGCAGGGATGATCCGAGATCTTCCGCTCATCTGGACCAGTTCCAAGAACGGTTCGGTGAGTCTGGTAGCGAGACAAAAAGAAGAGGAGGACACAGGGTACGAGAAAGAAGAGATCAGAGAGACGAGAGAGTTAAAAGATGCTCGTGTACCGTGCGACGGAACGACGTCGCGACGTCGCGTCCCGACGACACAATAAAAGAAGATTGAAAAGTGAATCTCATCCCCTAATGACATTCCTTATGAAAAACTCACCAATTCCAGGGCACTTGAGAAAATCAGAGGGTGGTCATAGCAGCGTGTATTCCGAAGCACAGTGAGGCGCGTGTCGCGTGCGTAAGGTCATCCGATGACAGGACGTGACCCCCCCTGAAGAGGGTTGCCGAGGACGCACGATAATAAAGCACCAGCGAGACAGAGAATCGCGCACAGCGTAATTCCGTTTGGTTATGTTTAGGCGGTGCGACGGCCGCAACGAGAAGAAGGCAGAAATGCCGACATGATCACCAAAAAAAAGACACTGCACGCAAAGAACCACGTAGCCGGAAACGGTTTAAAAGTTTGGCACAACGGTGTCCGTTCTCCAGAGACGATGGAAAAAGGGATCGATGATCCGTCCCCTCTCCAACCGGTTTGACCTCCCAGCTGTTGAGGGTTGACGCTGTTCGAGATCAGACGAAAAACTTCGGCTGGTTACGCAATCGTAGTAGATCGCAGCAACGGATTCCTTCGCACTTTCGATTCCCCGTTGCTTTTCCTGGAGTCGATCTGCAAAGCTTCTCTCTCCTCGTAGACGATGCCGCCACGATGATCCTCCTTTTCCCACGTAGATCCTCCGATCGTTATCCAAACTTTCCTTCTTTCCTCGAGGCTGACGATTGGCGTCCCTCGCGCGCACGGACGATTCGAAAAAATTGCTTCCTTTCCGGTCGGAAGTTCTTCCCGAGCTTCGACAGCCGGCGAACGCCCGTATATTTATAGGATCAGGTTAATAATACGAGTACGAAATTATTATTAGGTATCGTATCGCGGTACGGGACTAGATGTGTTGACTAGATGCACACTGCGAGCGTCTTTCTTAAAATACTTTTCACATGCGAGTGGCGGTTGCGGCGGTGGCGACGGTGGCGTCGCGGGGCACTACTCGGTCCGTGTTCGTCGTCCAATTCAAATTTAGAAACAACGTGCGTCGTGTACGGGGCGTTAAAACGGGGCGGTCGCGCGCGCTTCGACCAGTTCGCCCCGAGTTCGCAGTCGAGCCTGAAATAAAGATTGGGAAGTGGAGTGGCGGCAGCCGTATGTACCCGTCAGTCCACACGCTCTGGAGTTTGGTTGCTCGTTGAAGCAACGTCGCCGAGGGGCGTCCTCATTGGTCGATAACGCGAATGACGTCATGCGCTTGTTGGCCAATCCAATGAAGGCTCCTTCGAGCGCGCGTGCTCTCCTCTCGCTGCCCACTCCTCGCCGTCGCGTCGCCCGCCCCCC